CATATGTAGCCATGTATTTGAAGCTGATGCAAAGACAGGAGAGATATACCCTTTCTGTATGATGTAATACAATATACATATATACATACATATATTGTAATAAAACAAAAAACAACAATTCAGCTGTTATAACCTGGGTTCATATTTAGCACTTCTAATGGAAGTTCCTCCCTAGGAAAGTGGAAACCCCATGTCATTTTAGTATTCAGAAGATTTGGTGCATTGACGTGAGTTTTGTTTCTTTCCGTGTGGTTGTGTAGAATCGTACAGATGCTCGGAGAGTGATGCAGAACAAAAACCCCCCTCAGAACTGTAACCAGGCCTTCTCTAAAGACGGAGATCAAATCTTCAGTAATCGTAGTTACACCGCTGAGCAGACCAGAGCCAACTACCTCTCAGGAGATGTTGAAGAGGAGATCAGGTGTGTGTCTGTGTCTGTATGTGGAGGTGCAGTAAGTCAAATTTTACCTGACGAACCAGTCGTGGGAAGAACCTCTCATCTGGATACTTTTGGTCACCAGCTAACTTTTCAGGGTCTCTCTGTGTTTGAAAATTGCTTGGTTCCTCTTTCATCTCAGGCACCTGCAGAGGGAGATGGAGAACCAGAAAGCTCAGGCAGATCGCTTCCAGCAACAGATGAGAAAGTTAGATGAAGACATCAAACAGAACGAAGGGCTTCTGAGAAGAACCCACATAGATCAGAAGTCGAGCAAAGTAACGCTTTTATGATTTACCTTTTATCTATTTCTGACTCCAGGATATCATGAAATGCTGAAGATTTTTCAAGTCAGTTATTTAATGTTTAATGGTAATTCCTTAGCCTTTCTGAGTATCAAACTGATACCTCACACTAAATATGTTTCCTATTATTATAATAATAGTAATAATTAAAAAAAATATCTATAAACCCAAATTGGGTTGTTGATGTGTTTTTTATCAACTGCTTATACATTTTTCAGATTAAACAGAAGCAGAGGATTTTTCAGTTGTCAAAAATGGATTTCTAAATCAAATTTCTGTTATTCTACTCTGATATGATTATGAATTTCCTCATGAAGTTTCTGTATTTGTTCTAGGACAAGGCTACAAAGCTACAATTGGAGCTGACGGACCTTAAAAATGTGGAAGAGCCTCAGTCAGAGGACCTCAGGCCCTTGGTTTGTACAAAGCAAATAAATGCAGCACAATAATCAGACCTGATGGACTTACATTGTACTAATATCAGCAGCTCCACATAGCAAAGAAAATATTTAATTATGATGGAATGAAAGTCAGTAATATTTTTCACAATCCATAAGCACAGACGCTCCACATGACATGCTGTCCGTCTCCACTCTACAACAGGAGGAAGATCTTCAGGAGATTGTTTCTAAGATCTCGTCCAAGCGTGTCGAGTACGATGAGGCAAGAGCTCAGATGGCCTCCCACAAGGCCTCCCACGAGAAGGCAGAGCAGAAGTACAAGCAGCACAAAGAGCAGATCAACACGGTCGCAGAGGAGGCAGACTCAAAAAAGGTAAAATCCCCAACCCCAAATGTCCCTGTGTCTTGTCATTGGGATAAAAGTTAACATTAGCACCTGTTTCCAATAAAAGTTCAGAGCAGCTGCTGTGGTAAAAGGCCGACATTAGCACCTCTGTACTTCATTCTCATAAATCAGGTTTAATTACATTTCCGGTGTTGTCTCAGATACTTGGGGTGGGGTGAGAATTGAATATATCCCATTATTTGATGGGAGGCTTTACCTGCCTTTTTCTGCATGAAGCTTTAAGTTTGATTTCAGCTTGCATTATTACCTCATTATGTGACTGAACTTCATCCGGCTGAACTTCATGTAGTTACTCTTGTCCTTTTGTCCTGCTACAGGAGGAGCTGAGTAAGACGGATCAGGAGGTGATGAAGTGCAAGCATCACAAGAAACACTACGATGAGAAACGCAATGCCCATCTCCTCAACATACAGACCCTCGAGGCCAACCTGGAGAGCAAAGAGCAGGAACTTCAGGTACGCTACACAGACTAACAATATTTGTTGTTAAATGCACAGAGCAGCAGACATTTAATCAATTTAATATAAGTTTAATTTATAGCCTTGGAGCATTGTTAATCTATAATATATCTTTTTTTTGATTGTTTTGTTTTATTATTAAGTAACCATTAAAGGATTGTTATAGACATTATAACATTACATTATAGTTTTCACCTGCATTGAGTCTCAGAAACTGATTATTTTTTTACGCTACTGCTCAGACATCTGTGACCAAGGCCACCAAAATCTGTCCAGAGCGCCTGGAAGTTCGACGGACAGCCAGGAGTCTGGACAGTGAGATCAGTCGTCTCAAGGTCAAGATCACAACCCAGCAGGAACAGCAGGGGGACCGCGAGGAGGTTGTGAGGTATGTTACTCTACCCTTGTGTCAGATTGTAATGTAATAATTGCCAAGTAATGAAATGTAGCTACATATATTTGGTTCATGTAACTAGACAAATGTAAGTAAAGCAAGCACACAGTTCTCTTAATTCATTTTAACATGTAAACCTTCCTCTCTCTCTCTTTATCTTTAACACAACCAGGCAGTATCACGAGGCTCTCGAGAGCTACAAGAACATGGCTCAGCAAATGAAGAACCTCAACAGCTTCATCAGAAGTCTGGATAGTGTTATGAACCACAGACTCCAGGTTTACGCTGAGCTCAGGAGGTAAGCTGGAAAATGGCCTTTACACTGCCATTGCTAGACAAAATGTGAAATCGGAAACAATTTTAGTCTTAGTAATTTAGTTATATTTCTCTTCAAGATAATGGATTAACATATCAAAAAAGGGAACCTGTTGCTTGAGACTTCCTGTCCTCCTCGATTCTTCCTTGTCCATTTGATCCCTTTTCTCTGCATCTCTCTGTGTCTTAGGTTCCTCTCTGCCCGCTGTAAATACTACTTTGATAGCATGTTGGCCCAGAGAGGCTACACTGGAAGTATGACCTTTGACCACAAGAATGAAACCCTCTCCATCTCAGTAAGAAGAATGTTTGTTTGATTAATCAGTCAGACAACACTTTAGCCTCATTTTCCCCATTTAAAAAGTAAAATTATTACATTTATGCATCATCATGTTAGTTGCTGCAAATTAGAAGGTGGCACCAGCACAAGCTCTGCTACATGACAAATGCTTACTTAAACAGAGGTCTCTCCCTTTCCTCTTGCGCCGTGTGGGGGCCGTCAGTAGGTCTGGTGTGTGGGGCACGTTTGACCTTCACTCACTCTGGATGTCTGGATTAGAGTGTTCCTATAGCTTATATATAGATCATTTGTTTAAGCTTGCAAATCTTTTTTTTATTTGATCTTCTCCCTTCCCTTTTGTAGATTTTTAAAAAACCTTTTTTACTTTAAATATACAATGTCCCTGTAGTGAGTTTGTGATTGTTATTTTCCATCATTGACACCAATCAGAAACAGCCAATGAATTATGAAATTAAATTAAGAATTATGAAAACTGATTGTGGCCTCGGGTGATTTCATTTTTTCTGCTGAATGTGCGTGACTCTGAGGAACATTTTGAGCCTTGCAGACTAAACAATATAGCAGAAAGTCTAAATAAGAACACACTGATTTCTGAATGCTCACAGGAAAGATTTCTTGTACAAAACTGATCTGTCATCCACTCCTCTGTAGGTGCAGCCGGGCCAGGGAAACAAGGCTGACTTGAGTGACATGCGGTCCCTGTCTGGAGGCGAGCGGTCCTTCTCCACTGTTTGCTTTGTTCTCTCTCTTTGGGCCATCACAGAGGCGCCTTTCCGCTGTCTTGATGAGTTTGATGTTTACATGGTAATAAGAGCCTGTTTTTATTGACGTTGCAAGTTTGTACATGCTGCTTTAATTGCAAACTGAGCTCGTCTCTTCAGAAGGGTGGGGAAAGGGAAAGTTTGGAGTTCATACTTGAAACGGCTGTCTCAGTGTTTTGGCCTTATTTATCAAAAGATAACATGAATCTTGGGATATGTTTTGTCTGATCAGGACATGGTGAACAGGAGGATATCAATGGACATGATGCTGAAGGTAGCTGCTGGTCAGCGCTACAGACAGTTCATTTTCCTCACCCCGCAAAGCATGAGGTAATCGCCGATACATCTTTGTTTATGTATCTGTATGTCAAAGCAGTTCGACCACCCAGAATGTGATTTATTGACTAAGTAACTGTATATTCCTTTAGTAAATGAGCCATGACGACAATCCATTCAGTAAAGGCCATGTGATTTTTAGTATGCTGCTTAGTTTCCCTGGGAAAGAGCACAAGCCACTTAACCTCAAAGGTCTCTTTGTCATCTTTTGTTGCTTTTCTTCATCTTTTTCCAGTCTTCCAGTGAGCAAAATTATCCGCATCCTCCGTCTCAAAGATCCAGACCGTGGCCAAAACAATGCACAAACGAATCAAGACGAGGACCAGTAGTGTTGCTGGCTGGTAATATAACATCAGATGAGGTAACGAGACCACTAGCCGGTGCTAAGACGCTCCACCCGGACGTGGGGGTCGTATGCTGATTATCATTTTCTGGGAACATGTTAAAGGAAGTTCAGCCACTCAGCCACTTGTTCTGTACTTATCAGGTGGATTTTTATTTTTTATTTTTTTGAGAACGATTACTTCTGTCTGTGTTCGTACACAAAAAAAACAATTGTTCAATGTTCTTTTTATTTGGAAGTGTGTAAAATGTTTTGTACTACAACACTGAATGCAAGCACCGTTACTTTGAGGGAGTAAACATATTTTTATATCCACTGGCAAACTAACTGTTAAAACAGGCACGTTGAAGGAGTTATTGATGTCATTGTAAGCAATATTTAATATTCATTAAACCAAGAGTTAAGAGATAAATGCAGCGTTGGTGGGGTGTTTTTTTTTAACACATTGAAGCATTTTGGGATTGTCCTAACTGGAGGTCTTAATTTATTTATTTTTTAGTCAGTCAACACAATAATCTTGATGTGTTGCTCAGCTGTACACATTCACTGGCTAAGTCATTTTGATTTGAATCTACATTAAAACACTCAAATTGCATCCCTGAGACTTATTCAGGTCAGTCTTGTGAGGAGGAAGGATTTGCACCTTTAAGGGCTCTGTGCCAAATCCTCCACACAAGGCAGTCCATTGGAATGCACTTCCACTCATGCACATAATGTCTGTTGACAACATACCTGACCTCCTGAGGAAAAGTGGTACTTTCTTATTACAACCCTAAGAGCTGCAAAAAGCAGACGACATGAAACCCAGATCTATTCCATCGAGGTTGTTTGACAGAAATATGTCAGTGGCGGAGACTCTGAACGTACGAGCGGCCAAATATCAACGACATGTGGACTGTGCGGATCTCCAAGAGAGTCCGCATCCCTCTGGACCCGACGACAGCCGGCCAGAGGCGGACAACAGCAGACAAAATGAGGGCCAGAGAGAAATTCATTTCGCATTTCTGCCAGAGAGGTACGAGCCGCTGATGGATGACGAGGCACAAGTCAAGGCAAAAGAAGAGAAGAAGAAAAGGAAGAAAGAACAGTACAAAAAAGTGAAGAAGGTTGGTGTTCTCTCTACATTTTGTTAAGAAGTTAATAATCAGTGAACCTGCATATACACTGCATTCTTACTGTGATGGAATAGTCATTAAAACCTGAACCAGAATTGTTTTCAATGTGGAATCACCCACTCTCAATAAAATAGTTTAAATAGGTTGTTAGTTATTGCAAGAACTCAGGTAAACTTGCTCTTGTTTGGAACTGTGTGTTCTGTGCTTTTACTACATAATGATCCCCATTTAGCTTGTGATTATTTAGGTAATAAGTAGTAAAAAAAACAAACAAACACATAAACTGAATTGTGTGCAGCTTCAGAGACCACTGAAACGTCAAATGATTACATATTACATCTGTGTTCTCTCTGCATAATTGTGGCCTATTTACAGCAATGTTTCTTAATATGCAGTGTCCCTGAGAAATAAATGAATAAACCAGCAGCATCTTGGATCACTGGTCTGACTTCTGGGCTCACATTGACCTAGTCAAGACTAAAGCCAGGGATTACTCTCACTAAAGAGCTTTATAGTTTCATACGTGTCATCTCTCTGGCAGAGGAGACGTGAGAACGTTCTGGCGAACAATGTGGAGGTCAGGACGTGCTGTTCAGAGGGTCTGTCCACTTCCTTTAAGAAGCTGGTCTGAAATGATCACTATACCTGTTTGTAATTCACCTTTACCCCTTTAGTCCTTTTGATTCTGGATGAACAACAGTGGTCTGTTTACCAGACAGATTGCTTTATAACCCATACTGCCACGTGATCGATAAGGACCTCAAACAACATTATTCCAATAGGTTTATCAATGATCTGACACACTTGTTTGTATTGAACACTATCAGACTCTTATCAGTTGGTCGTGTTTGTGAATGAAGTAAACAAATCATCATAAAATGGTGGCAGGCGGTTTAATAACCACTGACAACCACTATAATGAGCAAGTAGGATATAGTTTTTAAAAAGTACATGTACTGTTTAACATTTTGCTCTAAATGTATTGTTATATGTAATATATAATTATGAACTGGTGAATACGTGTATGTGTATGAAGATACTTATATTGACCTGACTTCTGTCTTTTCTTGTAGTTTCAATTTGGGTAAGTTTAAACATGAACAGTTGTTTTTAATATGGCATTAATCAATCAGCCTCGCTTTATTCTAATACATTGTTGACTATTGGAAAAACTGTAAAAGCAGTAAGCCAATCCCTCCAGGAATGTGCGATGTTGCAATCACAGCAATTTATGAAAATTCAAGCAATCCCCTGAATTCTGTGTGATTTTTTAAAAGCTGCCGTGAAATTATGAATTTTAGACTGCAACAATCCCAAAAAAAAGAGCCTGTATAATCCTAGAAGGACGGGTAAACTAATGAATCTACACACGCTGGTTGACTAAAAAGAATGACATTTAAATCTGTAGAGAATCAGCAGTCTTTTTACTGTTTGAATGGCTTTATGAGTGATTTATAAAGAAATTACTAATTTATCTGATTCCAACTTGAAATAAAATAAGTTAATCAGTGATCTGGTATTCTTGTTTCTACTGATCAGTTATTCATGACCTACATAAATCTGTGAAAACATGCTGACAGGCGACTATTAATACTGTTAAAGTCCTTTCGTGACCTTCAAAGGTCCACTAACTAGCTTGGTGAACTTTTATTATACTATTTAATAAATAGTATTTATCATCTGTACCCTACTTTTTATTTCACTTGTTAAGAAGTTGACTCAATAATTAGTTTTATGTTTAGAAGACCAACCAGTGAGTAGAGCCTTTTTTTTTTTACATACTACACTGAGGAAGTAAGATTGTTATTAGTCCGTTTGTCTCAAAACGTCTGACTTCCGGTATCCGCTTCAGCCGGTCAGCCCTTTCCTGTTCAAAGAGGACAGGAGACAAAAGCGTTCACGGGGCCTTGTGTTTATATCTTAGGGATAAATGCGGACTGCACCTCTCCTCCTGTGGTGCTATTGTTCTAAAACACCACATACGAAAGCGTTTTTACCTGAAAGGCTTCCGCCTGATTTTATGTCAGTTCTTCATGCCCGTATTTTCTTAACCTACTTCAATCAAAATCATTGATAGAGCTTTGTAGCACAGATCTATCATCTGAATGATGTGGGAATAAAAGACTGATTGTGTGGGAGTTTTGCGAGGGGAAACAATCTCATTTGGCACAAAACACAGTTTGATCAACATTAATGTACCTTTTATTGTATTATTGTTCCACAGAATGAATGATTAATCTGCCTTTGTATGTTTTTCTTTCAGAATGTTGGTAAGGCTCTTCGCGCCACCTGGAAGTGTCTGATGCTCGGCCTGTACAATTTCGCCCTCGGCTACTCCACTCCGATCACAGTGGCCGCTACTTTCGTCCCCGACTTCCACCCAGGCCGAAACACGACCTGAGCCGAGCCACATGAACCTCCTCCTCCAGTTTCTTTGCATACTGCACTGTACATAGCAGCGAACCCATGGACACGGACCAAAGACTTTTAATACCTATTCAATGTTTGTGCACTTGATATCACATTTTTATAGTTGTTTCCACAAGTTGTAATCCAAATGTGCTTTTCCTACTGTGACGTTGTTGAGCTTATTGTTGACTGAAGATCAATCACAAGGTCCACATTCACAGCTAAAATTGCTTTCTTTACATGTGTACTCCTTAAGCCTAATACAGTATTGCTCATGCATTTATTAACCCTTAGTTCAGACACTGGAAAAACTAATGTGCCTTTGTTCACATGGAGAATGTTTTGGGTTTTTCTTTTAAATCGAGCTGGTGTTTGCATGTGTGCAGAAGGATCATGTGGGAATGAATGTGGCAGGACAGGAATATTTACTGTAGCTGAGTCAGGGCAGATATTCATACAGGCAACGAAAAAAAAGACTATTATTAAAGTAAATCAGAGGTGAAAGGATTTGGAAACACAGTGAGGAATAAACTCCTTTCAGAGTGGAGCAACTGGACCACCGATGTCAAAGGATTCTCAGACTGAATCGTAATGGTGTGACTTTTGGTGTAGCCCTAAACATTTCAGTGTTTGTGTACGTGTGTGAGTTTGTGGAGTTTTAAAGGTTGAGAAAGTCATGGTGTTTGTAAGTTGGCATGTGATAAAATGTAAATAAATTGTTACTGATTTTATTTCTTTGATAGTTTTCTTGTCTAAACGACTTTTCTCTGCCAAAAAGTCCTGGTCATGAACCAGTAACACAATGTCAAATACACACGTTTTTCACAGAAAGTTTACTCTTTATCATAATAAAATGTAAACCGTACAAATGAATTGTATATTGGACAATATAAAATAGTTAAGGACAACAATAGAATAAAGACAGATTAAATAATTTTGGTTTTCATGTATTTTTAGAAAGTTAAATCAACTTGTGTCAGAAGTCTTCAAAGGAAACTGTTCTTCATTGTTAAAGAAACAACAGCAGTACGTGACCTTTATCCTATTCTTACTGAAGTTGGATTAAGTTTATAAGAATATGATAAAGACAGAACAGAAACAGTTGAATCATTTTGTTCGTGAAGCAATTTTAGGTGCAGCGAGAAGGAAGAGAGGTAGGATCAATAAGACAAGGAAGACAAAAACAACGTGCCTTTAAACTGTTAAGAAAAATACCTCCCAGAATCAAATGATATCAAAACCAGTTAGAACATCACTGTCCCAGTTTAATACATCTTTTACTCGGCAAGCAAAACAAAACCCAATCATACATCAGACTTTCTGGAGCTCTAAAATGATCTATGTCAGGACTTAAATGCCCTAAAATCCTATAATTAAATACTATTTATAATACACACACACACACACACACACACACACACACACACACACACACACACACACACACACCACGCCCCCTTTCTGTGACGCAACTCCACCGCGACAAAGACTCCCCTTCCGTAGCAGTGTTGCTTTGTTGACATCAGGGACACAAACACTTTTTTGTTGAAATGACGGAGCAGAAAGCAGAGAATACCAGCTCTGTCCCCATCGACGGGTTCAGCCATTTAAGAATCACCTCGATATGGACGTTCCTCATGTCTGTAAGTTGAACTTCTCCCAACCTGACGGGGAGCTAACTCGCTAGCTGCCTTTGTTTATCTATGGCTGCCCTCTCTCGGAGAACAGCTGGCTAATATGTGTGTGTGTGTGTGTGTGTGTGTGTGTGTGTGTGTGTGTGTGTGTGTGTGTGTGTGTGTGTGTGTGTGTGTGTGTGTGTGTGTGTGTTTAGGTGCAGTGGTCGGAGCCGTGGCTCGTCGGGCTGCTGGTGTTTCATGTTGTGTGTGTGTGTGTGACTGTGGTCACCTGCAGCTACTACAGAGCTCAGATATGTCACTTTCTGCTCATGGGTGAGTTACTGAGGAAGGTAAAACCACACTTATTACTCTTTAATGGAGACTGCACACTCACATACTTATAAACATGTAACCTGTGTCTTTTATATAATCTGTAATGTGCTGCTTTGATCTGAAAGGAAACTACGTATTGGTGTGTGAAGACTGAATGAGGCAGATGTGTAATCCTTTATACCTCGCTTCAACATCACTTTGCTCTCTCCACAGTTGGCCTGGTGTGTAGTGCTGAATATCTAAACGAGCTGGCAGCCATGAACTGGAAGTAAGACCGCTGTTCAGCAGTATTTTGTTTTGTTAATTTGGTGTGTGTGTGTGTGTGTGTGTGTGTGTGTGTGTGTGTGTGTGTGTGTGTGTGTAGAGGCTCTGTTGTTCGTGTAGTCATCAAGAAAATCTCTTTTTTTTTTTTTTTGCAGGTCGTTTTCTAATTTCCAGTACTTTGATTCCAAGGGCATGTTCATATCTTTGGTCTACTCTATTCCTCTTCTGCTGAACACAGTCGTCATTGTGGTAAGCTGGATTGTTCCTCCTCGTCCGTGTCACATCAAATATACACTCAACACCAATCCATGTGAATGTTTGTGTTGTGCATCGACAGATGGTGTGGGTGTACAGGACCTTTTCAACTATGACTGAGCTGAAGACGCTCCAGCTTAAGCGAAAGGCCCGCAGGGAGAAGAGAGAGAAGAATGACTGATCCCACTGCTTATATCCAAAAATGGGCTTTAGTTGGAAGGATTAAGAATCATTGTCTCTCTGCTATGCTAAACCTGAATTTAGAAGAAGGAAGGCAGATTCTTTCTTGTGACTTTAAAAGGATTGTTCGTTGATGTCTGTGAGGACTGGGTGTCTGTTTCTTGTAACGGCTGTTGAAAGATGCAGCTGAATATGTAAACTATGAGATTCATGAGGACCAAAGGACATTTACTGTTTTGTATTTAATGTTGTTTTAACATGTGTTGCACAAAGAAATATAAAGTGTTTTCGAATGACTTATGTGACTCTTGATTTCTGGGCCTGGGTATTTTACAGTGTTTTGGTTAGATTTAAGAATGCAAAAGGGCAGAATATGAAGCATGGAGAAGGAAAGAAGGAACTTTGAATGTGAAAGAACGTCTGTACCATAAGGTGTCCTCTTTAATCATGTTTGTTGGGTTGGGATCAGTCATGGGTTACCGATCATCACCATTGACTAAGACTCGGGGGGCGTGGACATAATGACATACATTATGTTGATCTTAAGTAATTTTAAAAGGTTGCATCTCACACGAAACCTATGAGGAAACCCCCAACAAGCTTCTCTGGGCTGGATTCACGTCAAAATAAAGTAGTCCTAACTAACTGACTTTGTATCCCAGAACCAGTCGAACCTGTTGGTGACAGCTCCCACACAGTGTGGGAGGATTGGAGGGGGAAGTAAGGTCTTGTGACCTGTCAGTAGATCTAACAGGGAGGCACAGCCCTCCACATAAGGGAGGGAGGGAGTGGGTGGGTGGCTGTTTGATGGTACTAGGCTAAGCTCATTGTGCAAGACGTGTTTGAACCTTTCACGTCTTCCAGTAGACCTTTTTCCCAGCAGACATTTAGACTTGTCATAGCAGGAAAAGCTCCTGTTCCTAATAACATTAATGATGTCTCTGTGCCTCCCTATGAGCAGTGACAGTGAGCCGGCATGCACGGTACCAGGACCCTAAAACGTAAATGTCTTTACTGCTCGGACATGTCAAAATGTCTCGAGAAAAAGTCAGGTCTCTTTAGGACACCAACCCAGTAACTGCCCTACACTGGTTCTTCTTCCTGTTGGGATTTTACTCCCAGACTTAATACCCTAAACGTTAAATGCTCTGGCAGTCACATATTCTTTGGCCCTTCTGCTTGTTATCCTATTGTTATAAATTAATTATTATAATGTGTGTTTTAAATGTGCCACATGTTTTGTCTCCACTAGTCTAGAATATACAGTGTGTATGATAACCAAAAGGCATCCATGAATTTCTATAAAATGAAACATTTTATTTTGCGAACTTTTTCAGTTAAATATTAAAGCAAAATACATAATACAAATATAATAACACGTAAACACACACAAACTCTGCAGTAAAAGGTAGGTCAATACTGAAAATGGTTTAATAATGGCTTTGCTCTATGGCTGCAATAAAGACCTGGGGATGCACCACTAGAGGGCAGTATGGATCAAATGACACGAGACAAGTCCTGCGGTCCATAACATCTGTTCTCTGGGAAACTTTTACCTCAACTCACACCTTTTTTTTAAACTTTTTATCTCTGCAGAGAGCTAATGGGATGTCTTTCCTCAACCTTACTGTTGCTTTTTTTTAAATTTGTTTTCCCAGATGCATCTGATATATGTTGGTATGTTTTGTCGGCACTCATCTGACACAATCCATCAAGTGCGGACGTGAGTGATTGGATTACAGTCCTCCTCTGAAGTTATCTCAGAGGGTGTGGAGGAAAAGAACTGGGCGTGTTGTGTTGGTGGAGGTGGTGATTGCGATGGTGGTGAAGTATCCTCCGAAGAGATTAAGCACTAAAAGTTGCACTCTGACCTTTCTTTGGTGAACAAGGTGCAGGACTTACAGACACACACACACACACACACACACATACACACACACACACACACACACACACACACACACATTAGATAGATCTCAGCTCAACTTCTCCAGACACTTGAGTCCCGTCTAAATGAAAGATGAAGTATAAAAACTCTGAGACGTTTAAGAAGTTCATATTTCTCTGTTAAACAAAAGACACTATCACCCGTTTAAATCTTCTGATCTGATTGGTGTAAAAGTTGGAGCCAAATTCACCAGTTCATATATCTCAGATATGGCTGCTTTCCTCTGGTTTGTCATGCAGAACAGTACATTGCACAACATCCAGTCAGCTGCAGTCCTGTGGGTGAAAACACTTTGGATTAAAGAAAAAACACCTGTTAGAAAAACATGGGTTGAGAAGACGACTGTAGGCTGAAAGTTGGGGAACAGTTTACTTGACAAAAATCATGACACAACACTGGGGAGTGCAACAACCTCGTTGAGGATTCCTTTCTATTGAGAACAAGGAGATAAAGTCTGTTGAAGATTTCTGATGTCAAATGCTGATGATCATCCATCCTGCTTTGTACTGGCTTATAAAAGTGACCCTTTTTTCAACATTTCCAAGACCTTGGAGTGAGGTTGAGCTGACCTATCAGTAAATCCTAACTGATAAACGTACAAATAGAGGCTGGCTATATACAACAGCGGGACTGTTATAACAGCACTTTAGGAAACATTCTTATCAAGGATAAATCATGTCAATACATTGTGGCATGTGAGCTGATGCTGAGGTTCTCACAGATGAGGGACTGACGCATTCAGAGTTATAAATGTACTGTATATTGATCTGTACAAATTACGCAAACTATTATTATATTATTAATGTGTTTCAATTATAGCACGATAACATGGCACAAAGTCCGTCCACCCTTAACTTGTTTTCCCCTTTCATTTCCTTCTTAAGTACCTTTAATGTCATCTTAGTATTACATGGAATAAAATGATAAAATATGATATCTCTGATTGTTTAAAAACTGTCCATCATGAGTCTGACAGTAAATCGGTGGTCTTTTACATGTAAGTCGGAAGATGTCAGTAATTTAAGATTGAACATTGTAACAGAGCTGATGTAACAGCTCAAATGTAAATTTTCTCAACAGAATTATGTCATGGAATTATTGTTTTAACAGGTGATGAAATATGTCATTGAATTATTGCCCAACTATAATGTGTATGCAATCATTTTTCATTCAACAGGCATTACTCATTACGTAGAAGTTAAAACAAATTAACGTAGAAGATTTCTGTATGAGAAACACCTGTGAGCCACCCTGACATGGCCTGGATCCACAGAACCGCCCTTTAATGAACAGAGAGTGAAGTTTCTCTGTCCGGTTCTATTTTAAACCCATAAAAATCCCGGACATAAAGAATATAAGGATTGTTTCTGACGTCTCGTGGATGTTTTTGATTGTGTTGCATGTCAGGCCCACTGCCAGCTAATCCTGAAATGCATTCTTTACTGCATATGGAAGAATGTGAATAAGCAGATGTTGTATAGACCAGACACTGCCATGGGTGCTTTGAGTTTATATCTCAAGCTACAGAAAGGAAATGAGCTCAAATGATAACAGTGTTTTTGCCGTCTGTCACAATGTTCTCTCTGTTTCTATACAGTTTATGTTGGCTCCCGCTGTGGTTCTCAACATCTGCGGTTGTATAATCTACTGGTAAAGATGTTTGGCCAGAACTGTGTTTATTACAGTGTTATGCTAATTAAGAGCAGTTTTCTCCACTTTTCCACAAATCTTGTGCCGGTTGTGAATATACATTCCTGCACGGCAGCAGAGTTTAAATCTAGATTAACTTAAAGGACCAGTATGTTGGTCTCAGTGACATCTAGCAGTGAAGTTGCAGATTGCAACCATTTGAAATACAGATCAGCCTTTCAAGCATATAGGAGAAACTGCAGTGGTAGTGAAAAACATGAAAGGGCCTATGCAGTGTTAAGTGTTTGGTTCGTCCACTATGGGCTACTGTAGAAACATGGTGGTTCAGCATGGTGGACTATGCAGAGAAGGATCTGTTCCCTCTGTTATAAAGGGCTCATTCTAAGGTTGGACACTAATGAAAATATACCTATGAATATCATTGTCCATTTCTGCCAAAAGAGCCTCCTTAATGTTACACATAGGCTGCCAGAGCCGCTCCATACTGGGTTTACATGTAGATTCTACAGTGTGAACAACAAACATTCAAAGGTTTCACTGTACTAAAAGCTTTTTAAACAAGATTTGTGGAAAAAATTTTTTGTTATATGTCCTCAATGATGATGAAAAACTAGTTGTAGTTCAATCCCAGTTAGAAACATAATTTAAACTGTATGTGCATGTATGCAGTTATGCATGTGAAGCATCCATAACTGGTGTAAAGATAAATGAATACTTGATAACATATATTACATACTACTACACTACATACGACTACATACACTTAATACATATGAATTTTCAGGACATTTATAAACAATTTAAAACTTTGGCAGATTTTTGAAAACTATTAGAACCATTAACATATTAAAGCAGCTATAGCCAACACCTCTATAATATGAGTGTATCAAATGAGAATGTGTGAAAGGGTTGCTCGTACTGACAAAGATGTATCACCCAAATGTACAGCTCACCTCAACTTTGCCGTCCAGCTGCAACTGTTCACGTCTGTTTTCAACAGTTTTCAGTACCTGCTCAACACAATGGCAGACGGACACAGTTAGTCACTACCTGGTAAAAACTAAAGTGGCTAAAGAACCAGATAGTTCCCTCAGGAGTTGGCAGAGACCAAACACAGAGCTAAAAGGAGAGTAAATATTAGGCTGCTCTGTAGTTCGCCATATTGATGTAAAAGGTGATGATATGTCAATGTTGTGTTCATAAGTTGTTGTTGTCATAAATCAGTTATTGTAGTGCACCTTTAGCAATTAATGCCAAAATAAATTATACCAATTCAGCAGTGGTATATTACTTGACAATATTGTGGGGAGGAAGCTGCAATTTACCAAAGAAAATATTAATAATACAGGAGAAACCCTGCATAAAAACATACACATACACGCAATACCCCAAAACAAACTTCCATCAAACTCTGATATCATATACAGAATGTATAATGATGAAAGCTACAGTTATATGAAGCATTCATTAAATGCTAAATAGGATTAAGAAGGTTGAAAGAAAGTATCAGCTTGTAGCGTTTAGCATTGTAAGCAGCATACTTTCACCAGGTGGTGGTGTCCTGTGACTGTGTGGTTGAGTCACGCTGTGACTGGGCATGCTCTGTAATGTAATAAAGACAAAAGAGAGGGAGAGAGAAGGAAAAACTGGAGTAACTGATACAAAGTGATAGATGACTCACTCAGTGTGTGCTTGTGA